GGTTGAATGGGCACTTTGTCGAACATGTTCGGGAGACCTCGAGTTGTTTCCGCTCTAGTGCGGGTTAACTGGGCACTTTTTCGAACATGTTTGGGAGACCTCGAGTTGTTCCCCTCTAAGTGCGGGTTGACAGGGCACTTTGTCGAACTTGTTCTGGAGACTTCAAATTGTTCCCCTTTTAGTGCGGGTTGACTAGGCACTTTGTCGAACATGTTCAGGAGAGACCTCGAGTTGTTCCCCTCTTAGTGCGAGAAACTTGGCACTTTGTCGAACATGTTCGGGACCTCAAGTTGTTCCCCTCTAAGTGTGGGTTGACTTGGCACTTTGTCGAACATGTTCGGGACACCTCGAGTTGTTCCCCTCTTATGTGGGTGACTTGGCACTTTGTCGAACATGTTCGCGAACCTCGAGTTTCCCTCTTAGTGCGGATTACTTGGCCTTTGTCGAACATGTTCTGGAGACCTCGAATTGTTCCACTTCTTAGTTCGGGAATACTTGGCAGTTTGTCGAACATGTTTGGGACCTCAAGTTGTTCCCCTCTAAGTGTGGGTTGACTTGGCACTTTGTCGAACATGTTCCAGACACCTCGAGTTGTTCCCCTCTTAGTGCGGGTTGACTTGGCACTTTGTGGAACATGTTCAGGGGACCTTGAGTTGTTCCCCTCTTAGTGCGGGAGTACTTAACACTTCGTCGAACATGTTCGGGAGACCTCGAGTAGTTCTCTTCTTAGTGTGGGTTGACTGGGCACTTTGTCGAACATGTTTGGGAGACCTCCAGTTGTTCCCCTCTTAGTGAGGGTTGACTTGGCACTTTGTCGAACATGTTCGAGAGACCTCGAGTTGTTCCCCTTTTAGTGCAGGTTGACTGGGAACTTTGTCGAACATGTTCGGGAGACATCGAGTTGTTCCCCTCTTAGTGCGGGTTTACTGGGCACTTTGTTCAACATGTTCGAAAACATCGAGTTGTTCCCCTCTTAGTGCGGGTTGACTTGGCACTTTGTCGAACATGTTCGCGAGACCGCGAGTTGTTCCCCCTTAGTGCGGGAGACTTGGCACTTTGTCGAACATGTTCGGGAGACCTCGAGTTGTTCCCCTCTTAGTGCGGGTTGACGGGGCACTTTGTCGAACATGTTCGGGAGACCTCGAGTTGTTCCCTTCTAGTGTGGGTTGCTGGTCACTTTGGTCGAACATGTTCGGAAGACCTCGAGTTGTTCCCATTTTAGTGCAGGTTGACAGGGCATTTGTCGACATGTTCGGGAGACTCGAGTTGTTCCCTTCTTAGTGTGGGTTGACTGGGCACTGTGTCGAACATGTTCGGAAGACCTCGAGTTGTCCCATTTTAGTGCAGGTTTACTGGGCACTTTGTCGAACATGTTCGGGAGACCTCTAGTTGTTCCCCTTTAGTGTGGGTTGACTGGGCACTGTGTCGAACATGTTCGGGACCTCAAGTTGTTCCATTTTAGTGCGGTGACTGGGCACTTTGTCAAACATGTTCGGGAGACCTCGAGTTGTTCCCCTTGTGCGGTTGACTGGGCACTTTGTCGAACATGTTCAGGAGACCTCATTGTTCCCCTCTTAGTGCGGGTTGACTGGGCACTTTGTCGAACATGTTCAGGAGAACTCAAGTTGTTCCATCTTAGTGCTGGTTGACTGGCACTTTGTCAACATGTTCGGAGACCTCGAGTTTTTCCCCTTCAGTGAGGTTTACTGGCACTTTCGACAAGTTTGGGAGACCTCAAGTTGTTCCCCTCTTAGTGCGGGTTGACTGGACAATTTGTGAACATGTTCGGAGACCTCAGTTGTTCCATTCTAGTGCGGGTTGACTGGGCACTTTGTCGAACATGTTCGGAGACCTCGATTGTTTCCCTCTTAAGCGTTGCACTGGGCACTTTGTCGAACATGTTGGGGAGACCTCGAGTTGTCCGCTTAGTGCGGGTTGACTGGTCACTTTGTTCGGCATGTTCGGAGACCTCGAGTTGTTCCCCTCTTAGTGCGGGTTGACTGGGGCACTTTGTCGAACATGTTCGGAGACCTCGAGTTGTTCCCTTCTTAGCATGGGTTGACTATGCACTTTGTCGAACATGTTCGGGAGACCTCGAGTTGTTCCCCTCTTAGTGCAGGTTGACTGCACACTTTGTCGAACATGTTCGGGAGACCTCGAGTTGTTCCCCTCTTAGTGCGGGTTGACTGGGCACTTTGTTCAACATGTTCGGAAAACATCGAGTTGTTCCCCTCTTAGTGCGGAGTTGACTTGGCACTTTGTCGAAACATTGTTCGGGAGACTCATCGATCGTTTTCCCGCGGCTTTGCTTCATTGGGGTTTGACTTGGCACTTGTCGAACATGTTCGGGAAAGCTCGAGTTTTTCCTCTCTTAGTGCGGGTTGACTGGGCACTTTGTCGGACATGTTCGGGAAACCTAGAGTTGTTCCCTTCTTAGTGTGGGTTGACTGGGCACTTTGTCGAACATGTTCGGGACCTCGAGTTTTTCCCCTCTTAGTGCGGGTTGACTGGGCACTTTGTCGAGCATGTTCGGGAGACCTCAAGTCGTTCCATTCTTAGTGCGGGTTGACTGGGCACTTTGTCGAACATGTTCAGGAGACCTCAAGTAGTTCCCGTCTTAGCGTGGGTTGACTGGGCACTTTTCGGACATGTTTGGGAGACCTCGAGTTGTTCCCCTCTTAGTGCGGGTGGTCTGGGCACTTTGTTCAACATGTTCGGAAAACATCGAGTTGTTCCCCTCTTAGTGCGGGTTGACTTGGCACTTTGTCGAAATGTTCGGGAGACTCGAGTTGTTCCCCTTTAGTGCGGGGTACTTGGCACTTTGTCGAACATGTTCGGGAAACCTCGAGTTTTCCCTCTTAGTGCGGGTTGACTGGGCACTTTGTCGACATGTTCGGGAACCTAGAGTTGTTCCTCTTAGTGTGGGTTGACTGGCACTTTGTCGAACATGTTCGGGACTCGAGTTGTTCCCCTCTTAGTGCGGGTTGACTGGGCACTTTGTCGAGCATGTTCGGGAGACCTCAAGTCGTTCCCCTCTTAGTGCGGGTTGACTGGGCACTTTGTCGAACATGTTCAGGAGACCTCAAGTAGTTCCCGTCTTAGTGTGGGTTGACTGGGCACTTTTCGGACATGTTTGGGAGACCTCGAGTTGTTCCCCTCTTAGTGCGGGTGGACTGGGCACTTTGTTCAACATGTTCGGAAAACATCGAGTTGTTCCCCTCTTAGTGCGGGTTGACTTGGCACTTTGTCAAACATGTTCGGGAGACCTCGAGTTGTTCCCCTCTTAGTGCGCTAGTACTTGGCACTTTGTCGAAAATGTTCGGGGGACCTCGAGTTGTTACCCTCTTAGTGCGGGTTGACTTGGCACTTTGTCGAACATGTTCGGGAGACCTCGAGTTGTTCCCCTCTTAGTGCGCTAGTACTTGGCACTTTGTCGAAAATGTTCGGGAGACCTCGAGTTGTTCCCCTCTTAGTGCGCTAGTACTTGGCACTTTGTCGAAAATGTTCGGGGGACCTCGAGTTGTTACCCTCTTAGTGCGGGTTGACTGGGCACTTTGTCAAACATGTTCGGGAGACCTCGAGTTGTTCCCCTCTTAGTGCGGGTTGACTTGGCACTTTGTCGAACATGTTCGGGAGACCTCGAGTTGTTCCCTCTTAGTGCTAGTACTTGGCACTTTGTCGAAATGTTCGGGAGACCTCGAGTTGTTACCCTCTTAGTGCGGGTTGACTGGGCACTTTGTCAACATGTTCGGGAGACCTCGAGTTGTTCCCCTCTTATTGCGGGTTGACTTGGCACATTGTCGAACATGTTCGGGAGACCTCGAGTTGTTCCCCTCTTAGTGCGTGTTGACTGGGCACTTTTCAACATGTTCGGGAACATCGAGTTGTTCCCCTCTTAGTGCGGGTTGACTTGGCACTGTCGAAAATGTTCGGGAGACCTCGAGTTGTTCCCCTCTTAGTGCGGGAGTACTTGGCACTTTGTCGAACATGTTCGGGAGACCTCGAGTTCTTCCTCTCTTAGTGCGGGTTGACTGGGCACTTTGTCGGACATGTTCGGGAAACCTAGAGTTGTTCTCTTCTTAGTGTGGGTTGACTGGGCACTTTGTCGAGCATGTTCGGGAGACCTCAAGTCGTTCCATTCTTAGTGCAGGTTGACTGGGCACTTTGTCGAACATGTTCAGGAGACCTCAAGTAGTTCCCGTCCTAGTGTGGGTTGACTGGGCACTTTTCGGACATGTTTGGGAGACCTCGAGTTGTTCCCCTCTTAGTGCGGGTGACTGGACATTTGTCGAACATGATCGGGAGACCTCGAGTTTTTCCCCTCTTAGTGCGGGAGTACTTTGCACTTTGTCGAACATGTTCGGCAGACCTTCAGTTGTTCCCCTCTAAGTGCGGGTTTACTGGGCACTTTGTCGAACATGTTCAGGAGACCTCGAGTTGTTCCCCTCTTAGTGCGGGAGTACTTGGCACTTTGTCGAAAATGTTCGGGAGACCTCGAGTTGTTACCCTCTTAGTGCGGGTTGACTGGGCACTTTGTCAAACATGTTCGGGAGACCTCGAGTTGTTCCCCTCTTAGTGCGGGTTGACTAGGCACTTTCTCGAACATGTTCGGGGGACCTCGAGTTGTTCCCCTCTTAGTGCGGGTTGACTGGGCACTTTGTTCAACATGTTCGGAAAACATCGAGTTGTTCCCCTCTTAGTGCGGGTTGACTTGGCACTTTGTCGAACATGTTCGGGAGACCTCGAGTTGTTCTCCTCTTAGTGCGGGAGTACTTGGCACTTTGTCGAACATGTTCGGGAGACCTCGAGTTGTTCCGCTTTTAAGGCCCTGTCACACTGTTGCGTATGATAGGAACGTATGAGTCGCGTATAAAGATCATTTCATTCATTTTTATACGCACGAAAAAGTCCGTAAAAATAGGACATTTTGCATAAAATTAACTTATTAAACGTATGAGTATCGTATGAGTAGCCTGTCGCTGGCGTATGCAAGCGTATGAATAGCTTACGAGAAGCGTTTGGAATGCGCATGTCAAGTATACCACTGGCGTTTCACAGACTTTAATCGTATATAAGCGGCAGTATTTTCACACGGCTCCATTCGAGAAAATGTCAAACCTACAGTGAAAAAAGAAGAAGACACCATGGCAAATAAGAAGACATCATCTACCCGCGGACGAAGAAAAGGAAAGAGGACTCCATCATCAGCCGTTGCTAAAGCTGACGAACAACGTGTTTGTGCACCTGCAGATGTAGTTGAACCATCTGATGATGATGCACTTATTCCTGAGACATCTTTGAATAATGCGCGACATGTTCCTGAGCTCTCAAAATCTCCAACACAACCTTCCCAAGACTCCCATAATTCATCAGCTTTATCATCTGAAACCATTGATGACTTCACCTCCTTCCGGCGGGCTGATAGCAAGGAGAAAAATAAGAGGAAGAGGGCGAAGAAAACCCCTACAACCTCAGCGCCACAGAAGAGGAGCTGATGCTGGAGTTTATCATGGACAATCCTGTGCTGTGGAATGTGAAGATGACAGATTATAGGCGGAAAGACAAGAAAGAGAAGATCTGGGAAGAGCAAGCACATCAGATGAACAAGACTGTTGACATCCTCAAGGGCTGGTTCAGATCGTTGCGCGACACCCATACGCGCCTTGACAAGAAGAAAAGCGGGGATAGTGCTCCAAACCTGACTGAGAGAGAACAGTGGATCCTCTCAAAGTTTGCCTTCCTGAAGACTGTCACTCGCCACCGACCGGAGCCCATGCAGAGTGTAGTAGACAGCCATATTACCTTAGCAACATGATGACCAAGTAATTTGAGACAATTTCCACATGATATTTTTGGTCTTTCTAGGTGAAGGAAACCATCCAGCTTCACAGAGGAGATCTTAATGCTGCCGAGAGCGCCTGCGCTGATATGCAGGATGTCTTAGATGAAGTCACTCCAATACCATCATCTACCGCTGGAAGGTCCCACAAGCGACCTCAGGACACAGAGAGTGACGTCCTTGAGACTCTACAGAAGAGAGTTGCTGAGTCTGGCACCATCCTCAAAGACATCTACAAAGCCAAACAACAGCCCATTACAGCACGAAGTGTCTTTGCAAATTATGTTAAAGAGAGCCTTTTGACTATGTCCAAGTCGAAGTACAAGAAGGCAAGGTCCTCCATCAATAGGTTATTGTCTGAACTCATGGATGAGGACAGCGATGATGAATTTCCAAGTGCAATGGCGGCTCCATCTATCAAAGTTAACCAACAAGGGATCCCTTCTCAACCACCCCACGATTTGCACCCCACTACAAGAATTCCCTTCTGTTCATTTAGAGCATCAGCACCATCCTTCTCTGAGCATTATCAGAAACCCAGCAACATGCCTATAAATATGCCTCCGGCACCGTTGGTGAGAGGCTCTCAGCCCGTGGAGTACATGCAGTTATTTCAGTATCCGCATCATCACAAGACTACCACTAAACAACAGCAGATGATTCCTCCTTCCCAACAACTTGCTGAGCAACCGTTGCAGCAAGGCCCGGTTCGTGCCTCTTTGGCTTCTGCAACAGAGTTAATAACGAAAACGTCTAGCCCAACGCCGCACAGTCCAAGCTCAGCCTTTGAACAAAGTCACCCGAACATTACTAGTCTTTCAGGATTTCGAGAAATCATGGAATCTACTGATGATATTGGATTTCAGGATGAGGTTTTCAACCTTCGACCACCATCGTGAAAGAAGTATTGACTATTTTGTTACTGTAGTAACTCTCACGATAATCGAATTGTCAAAATTAAATTCTCATGTTTTGTTTCTCATAATTTCATAATACACACTGCATTTACACCCTTGTCTAAAGGACAACATTGTATATATTCTAAAATCTTGCAGTATTAATGTTGGAGTGACTATATAATTAACTGTGTTTCGACATCTACAAAAAGTTTGTTGTGGTTTAGTTTCGTTTACAATAATTTGATCTAAATCATTCTGTCTTGCCATGGAACTGCACCTGCTCTGAGTTGACCCCAGTGCTTTCAACAGATTCCTTAGCCCCTTTCCTTTGTTGGTGGATGTGTTTCTCCCAACAACTGTATGTGTGTCGAGCAAATTTCTGTCTTGTCTCCATTGATCCAGGAATGAAGTTGTTGTTCATGTTCTCTGCATGGTCTAGATGCTGGTTTTGTAATTCAGGATAGCGTATCCTCATGAGATTGTGCAGGACAATACAAGCTTTAACGATGAGCTTCACTGTATCAGGGTGATGCTGCATTGTAGTTAACAGAACCTGGAAACGATTCGTCAGGATGCCGAAAGCGTTTTCAACTACTCTTCTGGCGCGGGGAAATCCTGTAGTTAAATATCCTCTCTTCATAGTGTAGACCACGGCGGCTGTATGGCTTCATCATTGTCTCTCGGAGGGCAAAGGCATCGTCACCTACAAAGAAATAGGGGACACTCTGATAGTCATTTGGTAAAGCATCGGGGACGGGAATCCTATAGTTCCGTCTTCTGTTAATTCTTTGATTTCTAGAGTTGTTGTAGATCTGTGCGTCCGATGATGACCCTTTACCACCGAGGTCTGCCCAATGAATTTATAATCTGCGTCTACAAGGCCCATGAGTACAACAGAGTAGAATCCCTTGTAGTTGAAATATTCGGATCCACTTTTTGGTGGACACTTGCAGGCAATGTGCTTTCCATCTATAGCACCACATGTATGGGGGAAGTTCCACCTCTTGAGGAAAACTTATCAGATATGGCACGCCATCCCTCTGGCGTGGTAGGGCAGGTCATTACTTCGGACATGTATTCGTCGATGATGGCTTGGCAAACCTCTCTGACAATAAGTGACTGGGTTGTGGGGGACCCTCCATCCGTACTTCATGGCTGAATACGTGCTCCCAGAGGCAAGGTGTCGCAAAGTCAAAGAGAGCTTCAGCCAGGCTCCAGGGGTCGCCTATACCAGGTATGTTTCTTGGTGATCCTGGGACTCACTCTTGCCAAAAGCTCATCAAACATCTCGGGGACCATCCGCATAAAGTTCTGAAACATCGCGTATCTTCGCTTCGGAGTTCCACCAGAAGTTGGTCGTAAATGCCAAACTGCCTTCGCCTTCCGATCCATGATCTCATCCATGCCTCACGTCTTTTTCTTTTTCTCCTTTTCCTTCTGTTATTTTCTATGTGACGAATCGTCAAAGCTATGAGATCAAACTGGTATTCAAGAACAGCTAATCCATCCTTTATCTCGAAGGTACAAGATGATTATGAAGGCATCCAACATAAATATATATTATACCAATAAATGACACGCTATATATTTGTATACCCTTTCTCGTAACGTTTGCAATACGCTGAGGATACGACGACCAGGCGTTAACTATACGCTAATTGTACGGTAAATGCGTTACTTAATCGTCAATCATACGCTAAGCCCTCTATAGACGTTAAACATACGTCACACATAAGTTAGACCTTCGTTACTGATGCGCTATCAACACGTTAGTTGTACGGCACACTTACTCATTTGCGTATGATTAGCGTACTCAACCTATTAGTACAGTACATTTAACGTCCTTCTGCCGTATTCAGCGTATGACTAGCTTATCTTTACCGTATAAACCATACGTCCAAACACGCACAAGATTTTTAAGCATGCTTAAAAAAAATTTTCTTCCTCGGCGTATACCAGCGTATGTGACCGTGCTTGGAACGTGTATAACTTACGCACGACGTACCACCAGCATATTTCAGCGTATTCCGGCGTATGCGTCATATTTATCGTACGCTGCCATACGCTAATGTGATACGCAACAGTGTGACAGGGCCTTTAGTGCGGGTTGACTGGTCACTTTGTCGGACATGTTCGGGAGACTTCGAGTTGTTCGCTTCTTAGTGCGGGTTGACTGGGCACTTTGTTGCACATGTTCGGGAGACCTCAAGTTGTTCCATTCTTAGTGCTGGTTGACTGGGCACTTTGTCGAACATGTTCGGGAGACCTCAAGTTGTTCCATCCTTAGTGCGGGTTGACTGGGCACTTTGTCGAACATGTTCGGGAGACCTCGAGTTGTTTCCCTCTTAATGCGGGTTGACTGGGCACTTTGTCGAACATGTTCGGGAGACCTCGAGTTGTTCCGCTCTTAGTGCGGGTTGACTGGTCACTTTGTCGGACATGTTCGGGAGACTTCGAGTTGTTCCCTTCTTAGTGCGGGTTGACTGGGCACTTTGTCAAACATGTTCGGGAGACCTCGAGTTGTTCCCCTCTTAGTGCGGGTTGACAGGGCACTTTGTCGAACATGTTCGGGAGACCTCGAGTTGTTCCCCTCTTAGTGCGGGTTGACAGGGCACTTTGTCGAACATGTTCGGGAGACCTCGAGTTGTTCCCCGCTTAGTGCGGGTTGACTGGGCACTTTGTCAAACATGTTCGGGAGACCTCGAGTTGTTCCCCTCTTAGTGCGGGTTGACTGGGCACTTTGTCGAACATGTTCGGGAGACCTCGAGTTGTTCCCCTCTTAGTGTGGGTTGACTGGGTACTTTGTCGAACATGTTAGGGAGACCTCGAGTTGTTCCCCTCTTAGTGCGGGTTGACTGGGCACTTTGTCAAACATGTTTCGGAGACCTCGAGTTGTTCCCCTCTTAGTGCGGGTTGAATGGGCACTTTGTCGAACATGTTCGGGAGACCTCGAGTTGTTCCGCTCTTAGTGCGGGTTAACTGGGCACTTTTTCGAACATGTTTGGGAGACCTCGAGTTGTTCCCCTCTAAGTGCGGGTTGACAGGGCACTTTGTCGAACTTGTTCTGGAGACTTCAAATTGTTCCCCTTTTAGTGCGGGTTGACTAGGCACTTTGTCGAACATGTTCAGGAGACCTCGAGTTGTTCCCCTCTTAGTGCGAGAATACTTGGCACTTTGTCGAACATGTTCGGGAGACCTCAAGTTGTTCCCCTCTAAGTGTGGGTTGACTTGGCACTTTGTCGAACATGTTCGGGACACCTCGAGTTGTTCCCCTCTTAGTGTGGGTTGACTTGGCACTTTGTCGAACATGTTCGCGAGACCTCGAGTTGTTCCCCTCTTAGTGCGGGATTACTTGGCACTTTGTCGAACATGTTCTGGAGACCTCGAATTGTTCCACTCTTAGTTCGGGAATACTTGGCAGTTTGTCGAACATGTTTGGAAGACCTCAAGTTGTTCCCCTCTAAGTGTGGGTTGACTTGGCACTTTGTCGAACATGTTCCAGACACCTCGAGTTGTTCCCCTCTTAGTGCGGGTTGACTTGGCACTTTGTGGAACATGTTCGGGGGACCTTGAGTTGTTCCCCTCTTAGTGCGGGAGTACTTAACACTTCGTCGAACATGTTCGGGAGACCTCGAGTAGTTCTCTTCTTAGTGTGGGTTGACTGGGCACTTTGTCGAACATGTTTGGGAGACCTCCAGTTGTTCCCCTCTTAGTGCGGGTTGACTTGGCACTTTGTCGAACATGTTCGAGAGACCTCGAGTTGTTCCCCTTTTAGTGCAGGTTGACTGGGAACTTTGTCGAACATGTTCGGGAGACATCGAGTTGTTCCCCTCTTAGTGCGGGTTTACTGGGCACTTTGTTCAACATGTTCGAAAAACATCGAGTTGTTCCCCTCTTAGTGCGGCTTGACTTGGCACTTTGTCGAACATGTTCGCGAGACCTCGAGTTGTTCCCCTCTTAGTGCGGGAGTACTTGGCACTTTGTCGAACATGTTCGGGAGACCTCGAGTTGTTCCCCTCTTAGTGCGGGTTGACTGGGCACTTTGTCGAACATGTTCGGGAGACCTCGAGTTGTTCCCTTCTTAGTGTGGGTTGACTGGTCACTTTGTCGAACATGTTCGGAAGACCTCGAGTTGTTCCCATTTTAGTGCAGGTTGACAGGGCATTTTTTCGAACATGTTCGGGAGACCTCGAGTTGTTCCCTTCTTAGTGTGGGTTGACTGGGCACTGTGTCGAACATGTTCGGAAGACCTCGAGTTGTTCCCATTTTAGTGCAGGTTTACTGGGCACTTTGTCGAACATGTTCGGGAGACCTCTAGTTGTTCCCCTCTTAGTGTGGGTTGACTGGGCACTGTGTCGAACATGTTCGGGAGACCTCAAGTTGTTCCATTCTTAGTGCTGGTTGACTGGGCACTTTGTCAAACATGTTCGGGAGACCTCGAGTTGTTCCCCTTTTAGTGCAGGTTGACTGGGAACTTTGTCGAACATGTTCGGGAGACATCGAGTTGTTCCCCTCTTAGTGCGGGTTTACTGGGCACTTTGTTCAACATGTTCGAAAAACATCGAGTTGTTCCCCTCTTAGTGCGGCTTGACTTGGCACTTTGTCGAACATGTTCGCGAGACCTCGAGTTGTTCCCCTCTTAGTGCGGGAGTACTTGGCACTTTGTCGAACATGTTCGGGAGACCTCGAGTTGTTCCCCTCTTAGTGCGGGTTGACTGGGCACTTTGTCGAACATGTTCGGGAGACCTCGAGTTGTTCCCTTCTTAGTGTGGGTTGACTGGTCACTTTGTCGAACATGTTCGGAAGACCTCGAGTTGTTCCCATTTTAGTGCAGGTTGACAGGGCATTTTTTCGAACATGTTCGGGAGACCTCGAGTTGTTCCCTTCTTAGTGTGGGTTGACTGGGCACTGTGTCGAACATGTTCGGAAGACCTCGAGTTGTTCCCATTTTAGTGCAGGTTTACTGGGCACTTTGTCGAACATGTTCGGGAGACCTCTAG